TGTATATATCCAATTCTCTCACAACATTAATTTTAATGTTAGATTAGTTTTCTCCAACTGTTCTCATACACTTAATTGGAAATTCTTAATTTTCTTTTTATTTTAAAATATGTACTTTTACTAATTACATATTTATATTGACAGATCATTCTGTTTAGAAAAGTAAAAAATAATTCAACACACATGGAAAACGTCATATTTAATCAAGGTGATTCTTCGTGAAATAATAGTTCTTGTGAATTTATATACAATTTCTAGTTCAAGCAAACGAATCAGTGCGCCGATCAGAATTATTTACTTAATAATTATTTACAATATTTTTTTATGTGTAAACTGTACTCTTCCTCTTTCTTATTTCCAATTCCGATCAAACTGAATTGATTTTATATGGACACCCTGTATTTCCGGGTGAAATCCCATGCCATGACAATGTCAGTTGCTCTGGTTTGATCCTTGCGCCTCTGGGGCCACACTATAATTGAGTGGTTTGCATCTCGGTCGGCGAGACTATGGTTGCCCCTGAGCATGGAGCACGCGAGCGGGAAGAAGCTCGCGTTGCGTCTAAGAGAGATCAACAGAGATGACGGGAAGGGAATCTCGAGATCGAGAGAAAGAGAGAGAGAGAGAGAGAGAGAGAGAGAGAGAGAGAGAGAGAGAGAGAGAGAGAGAGAGAGGGAGTTAGCATGACCGAGAGAGTCAGAGGAGTAAGAAGGGAAGGGATAGGACCGTGCATTAGGCGAACATTGATTGAACTGGGAGCACTTGCCCCCGCATACCAGGATAATGCCGCGAAATTACGGGATGCGCTGTGCGCCATAAGCCGCTAGACGTGTCGCAATTAAAGGGAAATTCGAGAGAGAGGGAGCGAGAAAGAGAGAAAGATTGATAGCTGCCACACGATCCCCGACCACCCAGTGATTTTCGGGAGAAAAATTTCAATGAAACGTAATATTTTTCTTCCAGTGATATCGCAAATAATACCAAATAATGCAGTGAATTATTATTGCCTCTCTTATGAAACGTGCATTGCGTTTTTCCATTTTGATAGGATTAAGAAAGGATTAAAATAATTTAATTAATTAATCGAAGTAGCATTTTCAATACACTGATTAGATTATTTAATTGATTATTGAGTAAATAATTGTGATTATAAAATATTTTTAAAGCGGATATTCCGAAAGGATTTCGAATATGAGTTTGAGAATTGAAAGGATTGAATGGGTACTGTTTGGAAGCAAGACATGTTCATGTTAGATTGGATTGTTTGCAGGAAACAATCGATACGCAGAAATTGAAGGGTGCAACCGCAATGCAGTATTATTTTGCTGTAGCTGCTTTCTGGTCTAGAAACGTAGAACAAGTTTTATGGGTCAGTTTGTTTGTACGGGATTTTATCCTGTTTTAAATTAGACAATTTCAGCATGACGGTAAATTAAATCGATTTATCATTAAATTAAATTAAAATTAAATTAAATTAAATTGCTTGTTTAATAAACATCGTATATTAGGACTTTATTTTAAAAACTAATGGAAAATGAAAAATGAATTTAATATTTTTTAATATCACGGATTTTTCAAACGCATTACGTCGCTGATGGATGTGATGAAATGGATTAATACGGAGAAATGCGCGCACATTTAGATTGATATAAATGTCGTTAACGGAATTAACGAATTTAAATTAATTATAGGAGACAGCTAAATCGCCGCGCCGTCAACACACGTTTGACGCATGAAGCGTGCGAATAATGACGTGACCGATTTTTAATCTGGTTTTTAACCGGTTTTTTAATATCTCTCGGGAATTGCTCGAAAATTGCATCGCCGTGTCATTTCAAACGTTTGATTCGGCGAATAAAAAAAAGGAGAATTTTCCCGATGCAAACGGGAATTGCTTTAATCAGATTAAGGTGGAATGGCTTTTATCAATTAAAATGTAGGGGGATGCACGGTGCAAAAATTGTGCCGCACGCGTGATTCGCTTGAGTAATCAACGACGGTGCGGAAAAAGTACGCAGTGGGAGATGTTGTTTCATGTGTTGTCGTTGCATACATTGCTTTTACTATTAAATAAGAACGCGCGATTAAACTCATTGTATGCCTCATTTTGATTTTAGATTACTTTTCCACGCACGTTCTCCATCTATATCCGCAATTGCGTCACGCGCTCCATTACGACGTTCCGATTAGATTGTCAAGAATTGTGGGATTCGACTTTGTAGTAGATTATTGCCGTAACCCGGTAATTGTAATCACGTTGAGCCAAGTAAAAACGAAACGAATGTTGCACCATCGTCTTCCAATTATTTTACATTCAATTTTTATAGCATAATTTTGTTACTCTTTTTTTTTATTATGTTTTATCAAAATAAATCGCGTATTAGTTTTTTATTTTAAAATTTGCTAATCATTTATTATCTTTCAATTTTGCATATAATTGTGAAGAAATCGAATTGCATTTCGATCAAATGGTATAACGATAGTTTTTCTTGCGACAACTTGCAAGCTTGCAGTTTCGATGAATCGGATTCTGCTTTAGTTATATATAAGAACTCATGGTTCTCCGATAACCATTCTTGTTCGATCAGGCGACGATGACGTATAATTCAGTGATCTTGTCTTCCGATCGTCGATTTTCAGACACTGCAATGCTAAGCATTTCAGTGATACGAGTCCCAGGAGAATCCTCTAATTCCGACTCGCTCTAATACGCCTGGCGCCAGCTGGACCAAACCAGCGTGCGGTGCAAACTTTCGAAATGTGGCCGAACCAAGTCGGCGTGTCGAGCGCGCGCTAACGTTACAACTTTTAGGCAAAAACGGCGGTCGAAAGAAGTCGAGATTAGCTGCCGCTCTTTCAGAACAGTTTCGACGAAAGTTGCTTATTCACCCTTAATATGGGAGGAGTTAGGGAAAATTTCACATCCGATGAAAATGAAATTTAAATGTAATTTTGATTAAAATACAGTTTACAAAAGCAATGAAAAACAATTTTAAAAAAGGACGAATCGATATTCAATTTTGAACTCAGAAATTTAGTTAGCGTTATACATTTTTTTTTTGTTGAAGCTCTTTGATGAATTTCCTGCAACTTCTCATTGAGAGTACACGTTACATCACAATGAAGACCAATAAAAAATGAATTTTTATTAAAATGCTCACATAACTGACGCAACACTTTTTGAATATTTTTTTTTAAAAGCTCTTGAAAATATCGTAAAATCTGTGAAGGCTCTTCTTTATCAGCTTTAAAGCTCGCATTTCAATACGCAATACATTCATAGTCGAATAACGAATATGAACGAGTTACCTCACAATTTTGTAATTTACAGACAAGATAGAGAGATGACGCAATCTATTCGCGTAACAAACTTATATTTACGAAATAATATTTATTGATAACTGATACAGTAAATTCTAACTCTCGACAAGGAACGAAGATTTATTTTTACCACGCACTGTTAGATACATATATATTAAAGGAGGAAATCTAATTCCTTGAGTTAAATAACAAATTTTGTTATTTTTACACGTCAAAATGTAAATCAATCTATTTCTGTGTTTCAAAGTAAACATCGTTTATATTAATGTATGCATTAGAGTCAAATTTAATATATTTTGTTAAGTTAAATTGTTGACTACATTATATCTTAGTCAAATTAACGACACATTGGAGCACTGGCGATCTACAGAAATGATTAAAAATAACTCATTAATTTGACATTATAAATTTAACAGTGTATTTCTCTATTTATGGATAAGAAAATGATTTTTTGCGAAATAGCGATGCTTTTATAATTCAGAGTTAGCTCATTAATATTGTATTATCCCGCGAGAGTAAATCGAGAGTTTATTTCATTCCAGACCACAGACAACTGCCTTGGTTATTAACGACCGAAGTACAAATGTTTCGGGTATGCGTGACGGAGAATTAGAAGTGGTTAAAGGTTGGCGTGATCTATTCTCGTTGGTATCTCTCTTATTAAACAACATATGTTTAATAAGCATGGTGCAGTGTATGATAAATGCGACGAATTTACAACATAATGCCGCGGGAGAAACTATGAACTGAACTTCAGTGTTTGCGGTATAGGAATATGTATATAATATATGTATATGTATTAATTCTCTCTGATTAATTCTCATAATGCCAGACAAACTATGTTAATTTGTGTTAATACGATAAATAGTTAATATTGAATGTACCAAATGTGTTCTAAATCCTCTATTAAGAGATATTTTGTAAATTATTTATAACTTGTCCTTTTTAAAGAAATTTTTAAAAAGTTTTCCAACTAGATGTATATATATTTTCTAATTTATTTTCTATAAATTATAAATTTGATTAATTTTTACATCCGTCAAGATAAATAGATGTGCTGATAATATTAAGAGATAGATAATTGTAGTATGAGATATTCCAAATTTTCGATAAATATTTCGTAGATTTGCTTTCAACCATAATGTTAGTGCACTTTACTCTTAGAAACTTTTCCGGAACGAATTTCAGTCGCAAAGATGCGAGGCGAGAGATCGTTCCGCGAATTTCGCCGGGCTGAAATCGTTCACATTTGGATTTTGTCTCTTCTTCCAAGAAATCTCACACAGATAATCTTGTGCCAGACGCTCTATTCCGTCGCGTTACGTTGAATTCTTGCTAAAATCGACGGGCGATATGCGAAATCGATATTGTACCGATTGAGGACACAAGTGATTGTTTGCGATTGTACAGCTTTTATATCTGCGTTATATCCAATGAGTTTTTTAAATAATATTCACAAAATACTTTTCAAAAATTTATTGATTTTATCGTTAAAATAAATATTTTATACCGATATTTATTG